GGAAACAAACAGCTATTTTTTTTTTTTTTTTTGATTGTCTCTTGAGGTGCACAGAAACTCAGAGTTAGGAGCAGCTCCCTTTGGGAAAAACCAAAAGCAAATTCATGTGTCTTCCATCCTTTAGGCTGGTCCATGGTCCTTGAAGTAAGTCAATGGGCCTGGGGAGGCCATGTATCAGAACAAAGCCTTCTCTCTCTCCCAACAAGGATGTCTTTAGCACCCAGCCAGCACAGTCAGAGATGAAGGGTTCGGCCTCCATGTCTGCCACATAGAAGGATACCTTTGACGTTGCTGTGTCTGCTTTTATCTGGGTGAATAAACCCCTTTCCTCTAAAGAAAGAGAGCTGGGGAAGATGTTTATAGTTTTAGAAATCCTCAAGGAGTAAAATCAACCCAGCAGCGAGAGAGGGAACTCCATAAATCAGACACCAGAGCCTTTGCTGAATACTGAGTGGGAACTGAGAGGGAAGATGGGCAGGGAGTCACGTGACACCCCCCCCCCCCCCCCCCCCCCCCCCCCCCCCCCCCCCCCGCTTGGTCTCAGACTAGAACGTCACTGGAGCCAAGACGTGTGCCATGGCAGGAGCACTTCAGGAAGACTAACAAGATTCTCTTGTCACTGCAGACAGGAGTCTAACACAGGAAGTGAGATACATCTTTCTCTAGCCCCTCCCTGATCTGTAGATTATAAAATGCTTTTTTTTTTTTTTTTTTTTTTTGCTAATTGAAAATGTATAAATGTTAATCATCATTATCATCTGAAATCAATGCAACAGAACTTAAAAGGAAAATGTGCCAAAGTTCTGCAGTGTGCTATGAAGATTGGACCTGGGTCCCTGCCCTGCTGTATACTTTCCTAGCTCCCTCTCTGTTTCTTCACCTGTAAACCAAGGAGATTGCAAAAGTAGCAAATTGAAAGCCACAGATGAATGTTCAGTATTTCTCCAAAAGCTGGCTTTAACCACGCGTAGATGGGGCATGTGCTCTCTATGTGGCCTGGTCCTCCTCACACATTCATGATACCAACCTAGTCCTAAAAGCATTTGGATTTGAAATTAAAGAACCTCAAAGAATCTTTCCCAGTCTTTCAAGAAAAAAAAAAAATCTATGATGTTTTGACACAGGGATAGCAACAGCTAATGTCCCCTTCTTTCTCTCTACTTAGACATCTCAGCTTAAGGTGTACTTTGAAAACAAAGACACAAAGGCAAAACAGAAAGAGGAAGGAACAGTATACATGGTAGCATCGCACTGGGGAGCACTGCGCCACGTTCTAGAACTGCAAGCCACGGGGCTCCCTAATTATATCTTGTCTCCCACCCAGACCGAGGGCTAGCTTCCACTCTGAGCTCACTGAGGTGTGTGAAGAGGTAATTCAAAGGTCCATGCACAAGCCCTCCGATCACTTTATCGGTAACTATGGGTGAGCTATAACACTGCTGTCTGTAGAGCGCCCTCTGCTGTAAAAAAATGTGGATGTGGGTTAAGAACAGCACAGGAAGATTGACTTCTTGTACTGACCAAGCCTAATCTTGAGATGAATCTGTCCCTTATAAACAAAGAGCTGGGCAGCCCCCCCCCCCCCCCAACCCCTGACATCACAAAGAAAACACTCCGGCTTCCTAAGAGGATCAATCCAAAAAGGTTTCAATCCATAATAATCCAGAAACATCAACCCTAATTTTCAGGATTGATAATGTCCAAATTGAAGTCATGAAATCATTATAGTGGCCCTGAAATTAGCCTCCACCCCTGCAGTCAGATCTTACTATGTTCTGGTGCTCACATGATTCTCATTGAACTTAAGCGTTAACCTTTATGGCTATTATCTTCTTTCAAAAGTATGATGGTGAGAAGAAGGAATGTCTCCTATCTTCTGCATCAAAATGACTTTGAGCTTTCTGCTAAGAGCACACATGCTTGCTTTCTTTACCCAGAAATTATAAAACATTTAGGGACTCCTGGGGCAAGCTCATCATAAAATATTCAGCAACATCTGTGTCATATTAACTGACAGAGTAGACTCAGAAAATATGGCGCCTGTGCCGCAGGCTTCCCGGCATCATGTGGACAGACTGTGACTGAAGGGCGCTACTTTATGGCCCTTTGCTTCCACACTTCCCCTCTCTCTCAGGCAGCCCTTCTCCCCCAGGCAGCCCTTCTACCCAGCACATGGGCCACAAAAACAGGTCTGAGCTCAGAGTCTCCAGGAGCAAAGCAGCAAAGTAATTCCTAACATTGGAAGCCTGGTCATGTGGGGGTGCAATTGCATCCCCCCTCTCAGGAGTCACAGGAGGGAGGGAACAACAGGTATGGCCACAGCCTGGAGAGGGACTCCATCCTCCCTGGAATCTATGCATACAGGTAGCACACGCATGCGCGTACGTGCGCGCGCACACACACACACACACACACACACGGAAGCTTCTAGCTGCTTTGCGCTAGAAATTTGCAGAATACCTTAGAAAGGCTAACAGACAAAGGTCAGGACACATGTGTCCTTTTGAGCAGACAGTCAATAAATACAACAACTTCTGTGCCAGGCCCTGTGCAAGGCTTTACTACCACATGCTCCTGGTACCTCTGTGACCTTCAATATTATATGGGATGGGCTTCGAGGTAGAGGAAACAAGCCAGCCACATGTGAGCCACAGAGAAAGAACTACACTAAATTCCTGGCACAGAATTCTGATATACAATGTTCCTCGTAGGATACAGCCTGTCCTCTTGAAGGAGCACTGAATACTTATAAGCAGAATGAGCACAAATCTGGTTTGTTCAGAACAATCCCAATTTACACCTGATAACCTGGATGTTTTGTTAATGACACTCTCTTACACTCAAAAGCATCCCAGTCTGGGATGTAAAACACATGGTCACCCTATATATGGTCACTTCCAGATTTGATGAGACTTTTAACACCCTCACTGAGGATTTCAGGGCCTCTAGAATCATCCCTACAAGTCTCTCCAGCTATTTCGAGATTCCCTATTGCAAGATCTCACAGAGGCTTCTAGCTTTCCTCCTCTCCTGCTCTGCCTCCTCCAGGGTCTCCAGTGAGAAGCTGCATGAAGACCCTCTGCCACAGCCTCTGCTTCTCCCATCCTCTTCCACAGAGGCCTGGCCCAGCAGATCCCCTGCTGCCCCCAATTCTGTGCATTGAAGAGGGAGAATCCCATATACTTCCTGGTGCCACACTCAGGCAGGAGGCCTCAGAAGCAAAGTTCTCTCAGGGTCCAAACTCCCAGAGAGGTTTCTTGCACTACAGCTACTCTCACTGCTCACTGCCTCTGTTAGAGACCACAAAATGATGAGCCATCAGCCAGACATATGTTGAAGGTATTTCTTAGACCAGCCATGTTTGGGGTGTTGTATTGTTTTGTTTTTAATGTTGAGCCAACATCTTGAAATTAGATTGCCTATAAATTTCGTGATGTGCTAACGAACTACTTGCAAGAACCAAATGTTCAAACTTCCAAGAATTTTGTGAGTTGCTGTTAAATATAGCTTTTATTAAAACAAATTATATAAACATGCACCTAAATACATTCTATTAAAAACAAAGGCCATAATTAGATGGTGGTGATGACTAAACAACTCAGTAAATATACTAAAATTCATTGAATTGAACAGCTAAAATGTGTGGAGGGTGAGTTTTCTGGCACATAAATTATATCTCAATACAACTGTTAAAAAAATTTAAGGTAATATTCAAAATGCATCACTTGCTAATTATTGCAATTTACTATGATCTTGAGGTTATTTGTATCTATTGTAGTTCTAGGGTGGAACTACCATATCATAGAATGCAATTGCATATCACATTTGTCTCTTGCAAGTACTTCTTCAGCACATCACATATTTTATATGAAATCTGATATTAATATTCTTCCACAATTTGGAAACTATTATTCAGTTCAAAAGAAAAGAAGTCATTCTTTTGAAAAGAATGACTATACTTATCATTTGAATGTTGGTTGATATTTTCCTAGTGAAAGTGAAACAACAAAGAATATGTCAGAACTACATTCATAATCAAGCTTTTATTCCTATCTGGTGATAAGACCCTATTTTTGGTGATAGAATTATAAAAACTGATAGTGAATTTAGGAAGAAACTCAGGCAGAACATTTTAAATTTAAGGAGTATTTACAAATTTTATGCTATTATGTATTCTTTATATCAGTAAAATTTATAATGTTCCATACATGAGTATACATAAATGCATACATACATACTTTTTCTTATTAAACATTTACCAGCATGGTACTGGCTTAAGTCCTCATTTCCAGGCTTCTCCTGAAAGACAAAAATCTGGTAGCATTGCCTATATTCTCACCTCATAACTGAGTTGGCTGAAGTTGAGGTCATGGCTTATCCCCGTGTAGACTGGCAGGAAATCTCCAGTTCAGATGTAGTCTCCACCTCTTCCTGTTGTTTGACACTCTGCTTCTCTGTTGCCATGACCTCCCTGACTCTTAGAGGCTTCTGAATTTAAGCCCCCTCTTGCAAGACCCTCTCCTTGGGATTCAGATACAAGTCCATAAAATTCTGATGGAGGACTGATAACTAAAACAGACACAGTACTGACCTCCTCTGGTAGCCTGAATAATGGTCCCTTAAGCCATCCACAGCCTAATCCCCAGAACCTGTGAATATGTTGCCTTATATGGGAAAAGGAACTACAGATGCCATGAATTAAGAATCCAGAGCTAGCTGGGTGCAGTGGTGCATGCCTGTAACCCAAGCAGCTCGGGAGGCTGAGGCAGGAGGAGTTCAAAGCCAGCCTCAGCAATTTAGTGAGGCACTAAGCAACTCAGTGAGACCCTGTCTCTAAATAAAAAATACAAAATAGGGATGGGGATGTGGCTCAGTGGTCAAGTGCCCCTGAGTTCAATCCCCAGTAACCCCCCTCCCCCACCCAAAAAAATGGAATCCAGAGCTAGAAAGACAAGCCTGGGTTATTCAGGTGAGCTCGATGTAAACACAAGGCTCCTTACCTGAGGGAGGCAAGAGATCAGAGAGAGGAGATGTAGAAAGGAAGAAGCCATGAGCCAAAGAGTGCAGTCAGCCCCAAGAAGGTGGAGAAAGGCAGAGAAACAAACTCTTCTCCGGAGCTTCCAAAAGGAACACAGCCCTCCTTGACCCTGATGTCAGCCTTGCAGGACTCATTTCACACTTCTGATCTCCAGAATTCTAAGATAATGATAACAAATTTGTATTCAGTCACCAAGTTTGTGGTAACTTGTTAAGCAGCAAATGGAAATTAATATATTTTGCAATAATACTCTTCCCTAAGATATTCTCCCTCTGCCCAAATCCTCTCCTTCCTTTCCAACCCACCATACTCCCACCTAAAGCTTTGAAACTGTGCTTTTGTTTAAAACATTGACTTCAGATCTATTCTGAATGTGGGATCAAGCAAGAGCAGGCAGAAAGTCCAAATGAGCAGGCTCCCACCCCTCCATCCTGTCATACCACTAGTCCTGCTCCACTTTACTCCTGGTTCTAGGACTAAAGAGGTGAAGGGGTAGCCAAATCAGCTTATGCAAATGAGCCCCTCTAACAGTTTTCTACCCATCCTGCCTCCAGCTATCCCATTTCCAACTCTTACCTTTTTGCCAACCCAATTTTCCTTCTCTGGCTCCTCTCTCACTTCTTCTTTGCACAACAACTGCCTCTCTTCTTTCAGTTGGACTTTTGGCTCTTGATCACCTGACTTTGTTTCCTGAACTCTATCTAAAGGCTCCCTCCCACTGTGGTATCTGCAGGGACTGGTAACTCAGAATTAAAACTCCCCTGGTCCAGCCCTGGAACCTCTTCCTATTTCATAGTAACTGCCCTTACTTCATTGCTGTGGCCCTTCTCAGCCCAGCTACAAAGAATAAAGTGCTAAGAGATCATGAAAATGGCTGGAATATACTTCTTTGTTAACAGAAGTATTTGAGGGTTCAGATTTATGTCATATTGTCCTATAATATTATAAATGACAGTGTACCAGCTAAGTCCATTTAAACACTCCACTTACCTGTAATATATAACTAAGTCAGAGAGTTCCCCTGCCTTCAGGATCACAAGATGAAAAGGCTGAGATTCCTAAGTTCAGCTCAGTTGTGGACAAAATTCTGGAGCTAAACCATGTTGGTTTCTCTGACTAGTCCCCTCTCTTGTCCCATACTTAAATGAATATAAAATCTCACACCACATCAACTTCCAGTTGAATCATACACTGCACTGTCCAATATGGTAGCTACAAGTCATAGGTGGCAACTGAGTGCTTGAAAATTTGAGATATAAACTAAATTTGAGATGTAAAAGTAAAATATATACCAGAGTTTCAAAAGCTTAATACAAAAGAACATAAAATAACTCTTTAATACTTTGTACATTAATTAGATATTTAAATGATATTTCGGGTATGCTGAATTAACTATGATTTTTATTTTTTAACGTGGCTTTTTAAAAATTTAAACAATATACATGGCTCGCATGTGGCTCACATTGAATTTCTATTGGGCAGCACTGCACAAGACCCTAGCTATTCAAAGTGCTGTCTGCAGACCAGCAATGAGTGTTACCTGGGAACTGTTAGAAGACAGAGTCTCTGGCCCCATCCCAGGCCTCCTGAATTAGAATCTGCAATTTGACAAGATCCCTGATGATTCAGAGATACATTTGAAAAGCAGAGTTGAGGGGTCAGCAATTTTTTCTTTAAAAGACCAGAGAGTAAATATTTAGCCTTTGTGGGTCATATGGTCTTGTTCCCAACTCCTGAACCTTGCTATTATGTGAGTATCAGTGAATGGGTGTGGCCATATTCCATTAAAACTTTTTTGCAAAAACAGGCTCACATAGTTGGCACAACCCTGGGCTGATGGTTTCCTGAACTTTAGCTTTTATTAGCATCACAAATGGAGCTGGTTTTGCTGAGCTCCATGCTCAGAGCTTCAGGTTTAGGGTAGGACCTAGGAATTTGCATTTGGTCAAGTTTTCAGGGGATGCCAATGCTGCTGGACCATGGAACACACTTTGAGAACCACATTCTATCAAAATAGTTTTCAACTCAGACTATACACTAAAATAATTGAGTCTTTTTAAAAATGCCATTGCCTAAATTATGTCATTACAGGGAAAATGAATGGAACTTGACATTATATTAAGCAAGAAAAGCCAAACTTAGAAGGTCAAGGGTCATGATTTCTCTCATATGTAAAAGCTAGAGAGGAAAAAGGAAAAAGAAGAGTTGCAGGGGGAGGTGTCATGAAAATCAAAGGGAGATCAAGTGTAGAGGAAAGGAATCAGGGGGAGGGAGGGAGGGAGGAGAGGGGAAAATACTAGAGAATGATATAGACCAAATTATATGGTTATATCGTGTGCATGTATTAATATGTAACAACAAATCCCAACATTATGTACAATCTTAATGCACCAATTTTTAAAATATGGAAAAAAAATACCAATTCCTGGATCTGACCCCAGACCAATCAAATTATATTCCCTAAGGGAGGGCCTGGGGGCATCACCATGTTGTAAAAGCTCCCCAAGTGATTCCAATTTCCAACCAAGCATGTGCAGATTACAAAACCACCCATTACTCCTTAAATGACCTTATCAAGGTATTAGGGGGAAAATATGTTAATGAACTAATTTACAGTTACCTATGAAAGACCTAGCACACCAACGACCTCAGCATCATACAAAGGGATTTCTACCCCTGGTTCCCAAATTGATGGAACAGACAGGGGCTAAGCACAATTTTAAAACTTTCACGTTGCTTGAGGAGGCATTTTTAAGCAAACATGAAGAAGTATAGGCTATCAGGATTTGCTTGCCTACACTGTTTCTATTTTCAGCTCCACAAGTAGAAAAGTCAAGAACAGCAAGTACCAAGACCTGGCTCCTAGTTCTGACCTTGCTAAACAGACATGTAACTGGGGGTTAGTCACTTGTGCAAGTGCTTCCTTGACTACCCAGTGTTGGCCTCCCAGCCCTAACTGTCTGCACTTTATGATCGGTATGTTTATGAGTCATGAATTTCTATACACATTTTGAGTTTTTCTTTTTGACAGCAGCAGTGTGAATTGGGTTAGCCGGATCAGGCCAAGAGTAAAGGCAGTGCTTCTAGGGAAGTATCCTGTGTGTGATCTTTGTTTCTGTGGTAGTTTGCCAGCTTTGCAGACCACACCCAACAATCAGAATTACAGTCAGGGCCAATATCAATGTATATGACCTCAGCTACTGTGCCTAGCTCTCAGCTTCCTAGAATAATGATGTTGGAACACAGAGGAGAAGGGAGTAAAAAAAATCCTAACCATGCAGAAATAAAAACAGTCCTAGGAAAGAGGCTTTATCCTTGGGCTAGTGGAGAACTGAACAGAAGCAGGAAAAGTCAACAGAGATATCTCAGCTTTGGTATGAGAATATAGGTCGTGGGAAATGACAACTGCTATATATAGTTAAGAGAGGGAATAGGAACACCCATGTGGAGCAGAAGAAATTAGATTAGAAGGAAAAGGGGTAAGTCTATATAACTGGCTGCTTGCATCTCTATTTTGTGCCTAACTCACTTGAAAATCGTTCAAATGTCCCTGGAAAGATAAATACAAAATTTTCAGTGTTAGGACCAGTCCTGGTTCTTTGGGAGCCCCTGATGCACCAAGCTCCCAGTGCACAAAACAGTCCCTATTACAGGACAGACAGACTTTTAACCCTAGGAGTGGTCATTTCTGACATTTTAAAGATAACTTTTTAAAATTTATTCCAGTAGATATTCTTTCTACTAAATAGTCTTTTTCTTAGACTCCCATGAGGACTCATTTTCCAGTTATTTATCTTCTATTACTTTAATCCCAACTGAAGAAGGAGTTGATTTCAGTGAAAACGCAAGGTGATCATTAGCAGTAGTCTACAACTTCCACCATTTATCAATAATAAATATGAATAGAGTAAGCCAATCTCTTTGTCCCCTGAAGTCCTGCCTAAATTTATAAAATAGAAACTTCCACCAACTTGTTCACCCTCTTGAGGATCTTGTGTTAACACTTCTACCTTCTTGCTGGTCTAAAAGAGGAAGAGTCACTGACCAGACTGAGATCAGAGTAAAAATGCACAGTTCAGACATAATCCCTGGGTAAGTCTAAAAAAACCAAACCGAGACTCTAAAACCTCAAGAGTTATGGAATTGGGCAGAATATTGTTAAGGATTCCTGTTATTTAGCAGGAAGAAAATCTGGACAAGATATGAAGGTGACAATTATTAAAGAAACCAAAGCATTCCGTGTATATACCCCATTATGGTGTATATTTGTGTTTGCATTTCTTTTTCTTTTTAATCTGAAATGAGATAATATATTATCTATTAGTCTCCAACTTGATTTTTTCATTTTCTTCTTCTGTTATAGAAATAACTACAATAAATTACAATTCTCTGTATATTGTTTTATCTCTCGCCAGACTGAAATCTTTGGGAAGGCAGAAAAATAATTGAAATACTTAGAATTGCTATAAAAGTAAAGGGAAATAGACAATCGTTTTTTGGTTTTTGGTTTTTTTAGTTGTAGATTTTTATTTATTTACTTTTATGTGGTGCTGAGGATTGAACCCAGGGCCTCATCCATGCAAGGCAAGCGCTCTACCACTGAGCTACAACCCCAGCCCCGAAAGACATTCTTAAACACAACTAGTGGGACCATAAATTGACAGAAACTTTCCTCAGAACAATTTGTCAAAAATATTAATTTCCACCAAATATACATAAACTTTGACCTATCAATTTAATTTCTAGCCATTTATCCTAAGGAAATAACTCATGTGGCAAAGATTTCTGAATAAAAATAGTTACAAGACAGGTAATCTACAAACCCAAAATCAGCAGATAAAAAAATAATTATATAAAGTTTTTTGCAGCTATTAAAATTTGGTTCATAAATGTTTTACAGTGCTATCCATATGCATTTGCAATATATTAAGTGAAAAAGAAGGATAAAATTACAAATATCATTTGACTTAATTTTGGTGAGAAGCTGTAGCTCTGGATGAAGTAAAGGATGAAAGAGACATATATCAAAATGTATTAGTTTTTTAATCAGTAGTTTGCTCCTATACCCAATCATTTTTTAATCCTCTATAAGACTGAGGGTTGGAATTATAGGTAATGATATTTTACTTGTCAATATTTCATTTTATCTCTAAAATTAGTATATATTCCCTTTTGTGCTAAGGGGGAAAAAATCATAATTTTAAAATAAATTAGGGGGAGGTTTCCCATCCCAGAATGTATTTTGGTGATATGTTTCCTCCCAATCAACTTCAAAACAGCTGTATTTCAGTTAATTGCTACTTCTGTCCGTCGCGCTCTGTTCCCTGGTGCAGACATCATGTGGCTCATGGCGGATTCACAATTACTCATCCTCTCCTTGGCACATCTATTATTTTCATCACAGCTCTGGTAGGTGTGTGTCATGTGGCAACAATGGAGAAGCAATGAAGCAAGCTCATCAATGCTGCCACAGAGTCAAACAGGAAATAAAAGACCCAGCTGAGAACAAGTGTGATTTGTTAGCAGGTATACCCAGACTTTCAGCTTTCATATAGAGAAGAAAATCAGGGGGAAATTATAATTGCATTTACTGTCCAGGGTAGAACAAAGAGAACCAATCTCCTCGCCTGCTCCCTCCCACCCCATACAATTTGTGCCATCCTT